AGTATCATTTTTGCAATGAACACCTATAAATAATATTTTTGTAAATATGCACATAAATTTTTGCAATTTCCCCTAAATTTTATCAAAATAATTTGGGGTTTCACGTGTAGTTTTTGCTGCCTTTTTTATTCCTTTGTGTAGTAGACAATCAATGTCAGTTGATTAAAATTGTGTTTAAAAGACTGTGCAGTTTGACCTCAAGAAAATAAAAACAAAGACTGTGCAGTAAACGTTATTAAAAACAAGAAAAGAGCGGTTTCTTTGAGAGAGAGAGATGATTGAATAATGATTCTTATATTTTATACATTTTGTGAATTGTTTGCATATATAATACTAAAAGTCACGTACTAAACAAATACATTAAAACAGGTACTTGAACGCCGGAATATTCGCTACCGACGACCGAGATGACGACACGTCAAACACGCTTCCCCGGCCGGCTACAAGAGCGGCGATGCTTATCCGTGTCAACACACTCCTCCAAGGCTACTCCGGTATACGATTCGAAATTCTTGAAGCCATCACAAAATTCCTCAACCACAACATCACACCGCGCCTCCCACTCCGCGGCACCATCACCGCCTCCGGCGACCTCGTTCCCTTATCCTACATCGCCGGATTCCTAACCGGCCGACCCAACTCCCGATCCGTGGGACCCTCCGGCGAGATCCTCACTGCCTCGGAGGCATTTAAGCTCGCGGGAGTATCGACCTTTTTCGAGCTCCGCCCTAAGGAAGGGCTTGCGCTCGTTAATGGGACTGCGGTGGGGTCTGCCTTGGCCTCAACGGTACTGTACGAGGCCAACATTTTGGCTGTTTTCTCTGAGGTTGCTTCTGCGATGTTTGCGGAGGTTATGCAAGGGAAACCGGAGTTTACTGATCATCTTACGCATAAACTTAAGCACCATCCTGGTCAGATCGAAGCTGCCGCGATCATGGAGCATATCTTAGACGGGAGCTCTTATGTCAAAGAAGCTCAACAACTCCACAAAATTGATCCGCTTCAGAAACCTAAACAAGATCGGTATGCTTTCTTGTCTTTCAAGCAATTAGTTTCTTGCTTCTCAAGTAATAACCATTTTGATTTTGCTTTGTGATCAGATTTGACTAATAGTTCGTGTTTAAATTAACAGTTATGCTCTGCGTACGTCGCCGCAGTGGCTTGGACCGCAGATTGAGGTGATCAGAATGGCGACTAAAATGATCGAACGGGAGATAAACTCTGTCAATGATAACCCTTTGATCGATGTTTCGCGGAACAAAGCTATTCACGGTGGAAATTTCCAGGGGACACCGATTGGTGTCTCCATGGACAACACTCGTCTAGCCATCGGTTCAATCGGTAAACTAATGTTTGCGCAATTCACTGAACTTGTCAATGATTTCTACAACAACGGTTTACCCTCTAACCTATCCGGCGGGAGAAACCCTAGTCTCGATTACGGGTTAAAAGGTGGAGAAGTCGCCATGGCTTCTTATTGCTCCGAGCTCCAGTTCTTATCTAATCCTGTGACAAACCATGTTGAGAGTGCTTCGCACCACAATCAAGATGTTAACTCCCTTGGTCTGATCTCAAGCCGCAAGACCGCGGAATCTATGAAAATCCTCAAGCTCATGTCAACGACTTACTTGGTAGCTTTGTGCCAAGCCATTGATCTGAGACATCTTGAAGAAAATTTTAAAAATGCGGTTAAGGCAGTTGTGAGCGAGACCGCCAAGCGGGTACTAGCCGTCGAACCAGTCAACATCATTCGAGTTGTCGACCGCGAGTATGTCTTCTCATATGTTGATGATCCAAGTAGCCTCACTAACCCTCTAATGCAAAAGCTTAGACACTTCCTTATGGACCACGCTTTAGCTGAACCGGAACGTGAGAGTGAGGCGGTCTTTCGGAAAATTGGAGCGTTCGAGGCCGAGCTGAAGTCTCTCCTCCCTAAAGAAGTGGAACGAGTCCGGACCGAATACGAGAACGGTACGTCTGATGTGGCTAACCGAATCAAGGAGTGTCGGTCGTACCCGTTGTACCGGTTTGTGAGAGACGAGCTCGAGACAAGGTTGCTAACCGGAGAGAATGTCCGGTCACCGGGAGAGGATTTCGACATAGTTTACGCGGCAATCTCTCAAGGAAAACTCATTGATCCTCTGTTTGAATGTCTCAAAGAGTGGAATGGAGCTCCGATTCCAATCTGCTAAAATGATTTGTGTTTTACTGGTTTTTGCTAAAAATTTATGACACTTTTGATTATTCTGCTTCAATCTTAATTCGGTGAACCGTTATAATAAGTTAAAAACAAAAAAAAGATTAATAAACTCTTGTCGTTAAACATTTGTTTTTCTCTAAAACTAAAAAATTCAAAGACACAATCCACTAGCCACTAGTTTAAGACTCACTTGATCTTTGGTATTGGTATACATACTTTGTATTTTTAACTATATTTTACGACTTCTGGTTTCACAAATTCGAGTAACTGTTCTGTATCTTGAATTTGATAGATTCAAATCCGAATATCCTAAATTTTATGATATTTTGATCCTACAATTAAAATAGGTCTCTCTATTCGAAAAAATAATTGCATATTACTAGGGCCACAGTAGTAGTGGGCTAGTTAATGCTAAACCGGTCCACGAACCGCATTGCTGGTTAATGTTATTTGACGCCGTGCGCACACTAGTAAACCTTTGGATCCCATGCTAACATGCGCCTGCGGCAAACGTTAAATTAATTTTAAGAAAAATTCAAGATTTAACACACTTTCTCTC